TATGTATGTATATATATATATATATATATATATATATATATATATATATATATATATGTATATATATACATATATATATAATATTTTAAAAAATAATTCAAAATAAATATTTATAAATATTTATCTAATAACTTACTAATATTGTATGCTATCTGGGGTAATACTTTTAATCTTAACAGTACTTTGCGTAAGTATTTCATCACTTAGCAAAGTATTATATATTAGTATTTAAATATTGACAATATTCTGCGTAAGTATTTTATCACTGGATGAAGTATTACATATCAATATTTAAGTATTGAAATCATTCATAAGGTAGGATTTGTAACATTAAATATTGAAATACTTGAGTACTAAATGCTGTATTTGAATCACAGAATATTACTAAATACTGTACTTTTAATACTGAAAATAAGTAATTAATCAATGATTCTTAGTATGATATTTCTATAAGGGACGCCTTTAGCGGAGGTATACAGTCAATTGAGTTTTTCGTAATGAGGAGACGACGACGACGTTTCTCAAGCATAAATTTACGATTTCGGACTTTGAGTTAAAATATATCAGCTTCTAGAACATGTAGAGCAAAAGTAAAAACAGTTTTATTAAGTAATGTAAATCCAAAGAATCGAAGCCCGTCCAGAATTTCATCCGTTCAGCCATTATAGTTGAACGAGGAATCGTGCCTGTGTTCAACTAAAGTCGTCGCATAAATATACACGTGAGCCCGTTGCTTCCGCTTGCACTTGGCTTCGCGACACTACCGTGTCGCTTGATTTATTCAATTTACGTTGGACAGTTCTAACACTTACATTTTTACCAAGATCTGATGATATTTCAGCGTGAATATCAACTGCAGTTTTAAATCTGTCTGATTTAGATAATCTATGAATCTTGCGGTCAGTTCTTATGTCGGTTTTTTGTGATCTCGTTTTACGAGAACGCTACCTGTCGTTCCATGACGTTTAATATATTGCATAGCTTGATAACAAGCCATAACATATATCTTAAAATCTATAGAAATTTTCCTATAACACTTCCCACTTTTGCGAAGTTGCTGCACTTGCTGACGCGTTATATTCTTTTGTTTGCTCATCACATTACTGTTACAACACGTCTCTCTATCTATATTATTCGGTAGATACCGATAAATATTGTTTACATTGCAGAAATTTTGACCTATTTGTGTATTACCACAGTGTACGTAAATTTAACATTTGTATAAACAAACACAAGAAACTTCTTAGTCATAGTAAATTGATAAACACTGTTTTGTTATTTCATAATATATGTTATAAACTTGTAAAGAATATAATGAATTTTTGTTTAACTATTTCATAAATAAGTACACAACGAATAAAATTTAATTTTGCTAACTGTACGTAAGTATATGTCTGCCACTGTATATGCCTACATTTTGTTTCTTTTACATCGTAATTTTATTTCATTATTTATGTCGGCTTTCATCGATTTTCTACGAAATATCCATTGAACTGCTACAATTTTAATATACTTAATTCTCACACATTGTAGAATGTAAAGAATATGCCAATCTGGTTTATGAAACCGAGAATTCACCAGTTCTACGCATCAATGCGGGTTCAAACAAAGTTTCCCGCTGCGCAATTATTGAGACGCCTCTAATCGTTGGCGGAGTCCGAGCAAAGCTAGCGGAATTTCCGCATATGGTGAGAATAAATTATATACAAAATGATACAAATGAATGATACAATAGAATTAAGAAATATAATTACGTGCAAGTAATCATGAATTTTGCAAACGCGACGCAAAGAGTTGATACACAAATATCATTTATAATAAATATATGTAACTTTATTCTTTATAAGATATACCCAAATAGCCAAACCTACACGAGCAGAATTTGCGCAGAGTCAACAGTGTCTATTGACAGAATGGTAACAGATTATACAGAATCTGTTCTTACGACAGATTGGTGACAGACTGCGCGCAGAGCTTGCCGACAGATTTTGACGGCAAATGGGTGGCAGATTGCGTACAGATTCTGTCGTTTCGTAGGTTCTTTAATTAAATGGCATATATATGCTATTAAATGGTGTACTTTCATATGCACACGGTGTAAAACAAATATAGACCTGTAATTGAAGTTTAGTTAGTGTTAGTTTAGTTAGTGTTAGTTTGTTTATGCCTATATCATAATAACCAGGGTTGGGTAGTAACTAGTTAAAAAGTTAAATGGCTTTAACTTAACTTATTTACATTTTTACACTCTTAACTTTTAACTTAACTTAGTTACATTTTATCGGTAACTTAGTTACATTTTATCGGTAACTGTTAACTTTTAATTCAATTATCTTGAAGTTAATCATGTCATAAAGGTGTCGCGAGACGTCGAAAGGTTGTTCAGTTTAGGAGAGCTTATTTTTTACAATCTTCGAGGAAAATGTCCAATAAAAAGATCGCCGCACTAATCATATGAAAAAAGTGGTTTCAGTCGAATTGACTGAAACTATGATATTTTGTAGCTTATGAGGTGCTGATAAAAATCTTCAACAAAAACTGTTAAAAAATGAAGTTTTTTTCTAGCGCCATTAGAAAGTTGCAATTTTAAGTCTAACCGAATTTTTATCTGCAGTACACAGATTGCTTTTTTAACTGTATCGGCATTTATATAAAAAAATATTAATTAATTAAAAATAATAATTAATTTAAAAAATCCCATTAAAAATATGGGAACCCCTGAATATCTTTTTATAGTGAGGTTTTTCGATAAAACTTTCAAAACAAAAGTTGTAGAATTTCAGAAGCTGAATCTGATGGTAACCTTAAAATTGACCTTGAAGGTCATTTCGAGGCCAGCTTAATTTTTTTTAATGGAAACCTATTAAATCATTAAGTTATTAAAGATATTCAGGGGTTCTTATATTTTTAAGACATCCTGTATAACCATACGTGTATCCATTATTGAATAGATTTTTAATGGGAACCCTGATCCTTGGGTCAGGATGACCATCGGGGATCATTTCGAAGTCAAAGCATCCGCTATTGCGCGACCGCTGATAGCATTGTTCCCATATTTTTAAGAAAAACCGTAAAGTTTGAAGGTCAAAGGGAGCATTTTCTGAAAAAATGTTTCAAATAAAAGCTTCTCAGTTTTTGGCGTAGATTCCGAATCCGTCATGAAAATATGCATATTCCGTTTGAAAAAATAAAGTTGACCTTGAAATGGCCTTCAAGGTCAAACTTAAGGTCAATTTTAAAATATGAGATATTACTATGAGATTCAGCTTTTGAAATCCTACAACTTTTATTTTGAAAGTTTTATCGAAAAACCTCACTATAAAAAGATATTCAGGGGTTCTCATATTTTTAAGACATCTTGTATAACCATACGTGTGTCCATTATTGAATAGATTCATGTCTCAGTGTATGTATGTGGTGCAAGAAGAGGGTGTAATATAGGTGCATATTGGTATGTATATATTTGTATCGATAGTTATTCTATTAATATGTCTGATTATTACGTATAAAAAATTGTGTGTGTGTGTATATGCGTGCGTACGCGTGTGTGTGTTGGACGGGTTAGGTTAGGTTACACACACACATACATACACAATTTGACTGAAACCACTTTTTTCATATGGTTAGTGCGGGGTCCTTTTGAAAAACTTTATTACTTAAATTTAATAAGTATCTGTAAATGAAACGTGTTTCCAAATAAGATGTATATTTGTTTTTTCCGTTATTTATAAAACTGAAACACTGAAGTCATGAAATAAAACAAATTTAACTTTTAACTTTTTAATTACTTTTTTTACTAACTTAACTTTTAATTCAATTAATTTAATTATGGGTTAATTTAATTATGGATTAACTGTATCTTAACTAAGCTAAATGTTCAAAACCATTAAATTTAACTTAACTTAGTTAAAAAAAAGTTAACTTACCCAACCCTGATAATAACCAATCTCAAGTTTTGTGTTTTATTTAAAACCCATTCTGTATTAGTCGCAAATTTACCTTAAAATCGATGAAACGGAAAATGACTATTATTGAATAATAATTTAACATAAATCGAAATTAATCATAGCTTTTAGTATAAAATTTAATGTAATATTGTGAAATATAAAGAAAGATAATAAAAGATAATGAATATTGTTGAAAAATAACATAAAAGTTTTCAGTATTCAATATAATGAAATTAATTTAATGTTACAGAAAATTGTCGTAATTATTCATGAAAACTTGATGAAGTAAGGACCTAAGTCATTTGAAAAATTATTGAAAACTCTTGCAATATTTTATTGATTTTTGCGAAAAATTGTTGATACATATTGAGTATATATATAATCGTTGATGTACTATATAGTATATTGAGTATGCTTCCTGAACGCACTATTTGACAGTACGGATCTATCTTTCTCTCCCTCTTTCTCTATCTCTTCCTCTTTCTCTCTTTCCCTCTCTCTCTCTCCTTATAAAAATCTCCTTATAAAAATATCATACTAAGAATCATTGATAATTATTTATTTTCAGTATTAAAAATACTGGATAATAAGTAATTATCAATGATTCTTAGTATGATATTTCTATAAGGGTCTCTTATTCTATTCTATTCAATTCTCTTTCTCTTACTCTTTCTCTCTCTTTTATATCGGCTAGATCTAGACATCCTCTAATAAGAGTCTGGCCAACAGAAATCAGATTTCAGAGTGTTTTGATTGATCCGCCATTTTTTCTCTAATCTAAAAGGGTGTAGCTTCAGCGCGAGTGCATTATTATGAATGACTAATGTCACAAACACTGACAAAACATCAATTCGTATAATATTTCAATATTATCCGTGCAGATTTTATTTTGTTCAAACTACAATCAACTTATTTTATGTTTTTACGAATAAATGTATTTTTTTACATATAATGTACAATATAACGTGTAAATGATGAAAGAGTAGTGCGAAGTGACAATTTTACCATTCGATGATAAAGGAAAAAATGAAATAAATAAACAGTAAGATTTGAAAAAGGCATATAAGAAGCAAACACGGATGCTTAGTGCTATTAGATACTAATATTACTTTTTAATATTAATATGATAGTGGGAAGATAATATGTCCAGCATGTTAAACGCACATATCGAAATTTCTTCGATTATCGTAAGCGGCGAATCAACTTTCCATACTTAGATCGATCCTTAAGTCCCAATATATATATATATATATATATATACAGGGTGGACCATTTTAATCCATCCAGTCGAATATGTCGAAAACCAAGCACGGGAGAGAAAAATTTTTCAGACAAAAGTTGTTTGGTTTCGAGGGGACCATAAGATGGTATCATTGCTTTGACCTTGAAGAATTATTTGAAAGTCACATGAAAGTCACCTCAATTTTTTTAAACGGCATCCCCTATTTTTTATTACATATTCTTGTAGCTGACCTCGAGAGCTTTCCAAAACATTGTAATGAAATGTTTCTTCATTGAGTACTTTTCGAGTTATAAAGCTCCAAAGTTGCAATATGAAAAAATTCAAAATATCTCGTAAAGTATTCACTTTCCGTCTTATCTTAC